AGATGAGAGTCACAGTGTTGAAACTGGGCACACTTTATCACAGATGCCAATTGTAATTCCTTCAGCTCATCACTTGTAATCAATATTGCAGATCATATTAAAACCAAACATTGTCTTTGTCTCATTCACACTTTTGTTTTGAAGACTGTGGAGAAGTGTGTGAAGACCATGTTCGCACATGGACGTATGAAAGTGGTGTTCATGTGCAGCATTAAAGCCTTGCGTGCAGTAATGTGACTATTTAATAAGGACTTCGCTGAATATCTGTGTAAAACATGGAATCTAGTACATGCAAGCTCAGAGTTCCTGATTTCATCCTATGCTTCATTTTTAAAGAGTAGCAGGATATAGAATGAACCTTGCTAAGAAATACCCAGTATGAAAGTTGTGACCTGCCAAATGTCACCTAGTGTTGTTTTGAGCCATGCAGGGCCTAAATCTCTATTCCAGACTCTTGTCTTTTACTTAGAGAATTTTAAGTACAGGCACAAACACAACATAAAGTGTTGTAATGATTATTTACAGTGAGAATAATACACAGGTACATGAGGTCTTATTTAGGGAGAGTGGGCCAGGAAAAGTAAATTGGGCCTTTCATACCCTGCTTTTCCTAAGTCCATGAGGGCAGAGTGACAGCAGGAGAGTGAGAAAGAGTGATCCCTTTCCCTTTACCAGGCTTCCTATGAACTTAGAGATGGGGAGTGGTTACATAGTACTGCCCCCAGGTCCCAGGTAAGGGGAGGTACATCCAGGGGAGGGGTCATCTAATTGACAGGTGTGTTGATATGGTAGCACAGAGCAGGAAAGGAATGGCAAGCAGCTCATGAACATAAAGTATCTATCTGCCTGACTCCTCACACATCAGTTACTGCCTGAGCTCGGCTCCACTCTGTTATTTCAGTCTTACTGCCAAAGAGCAGGACAGTGAAATTATTTGAGACTGACTAGTGCTCTGTGTAATCCAAAGTTACTTTTTTTCTCCATTAAAAAATTAAGATAATGTTTAAGTTTACATTATGGTGAAACTTTTAATAAATGACCATTTCCCTGATGATTACTGATGTTGAGCATTTTTATATATCTTTTGGTCTCTTTTATGTCTTTTTCTGATAAATTTGTTTAAATCTGTTGTGCATTTTAATTGGAGTGTATGCTTTCCTCTATTGTGTTATTTAAGTTTTTACATACTCTGTAAACATGCATGGCTCACAAATACTTTCTTCATTCTGTAGTTTGAGTCAGTCTATTGTTTTCTTTGTTTTACTGAAATTCTTTAGTTTGATGAAATCACATTTAATTATTAGGCTTTTATTTGCTGTGCAATTAGCAGTCTGGTATATAAAATCCCTGCCCATTCCAGTGGCATGATGTATTTTCTCTATGTATCCTTTTAATAGCTTCAGTTTCATGTCTCATGGTAGAGATCCTTCGCCTATTTGGTTAAATTTATTCCTAAGAATTTTTTTTTTATTTGTTGGGATTGGGATTGCTTTCTTTACTTAATTTCATTTTTATGATATTATTATAAAGAGAACAGATTTAATATTATTCACAGATGGAATTCTAAGAATACAATGTCCTTTTCCTCCCTCTTCTTCCCTCTTTCTTTCCCTCTCTCCCTCCCTTCCTTCTTCTACCTCTCTCTCTCCTCCCTTCTTATAATTTTTGAGATAACATTTTAAATTGACGTTATAGTCAATTCCTTAATGTTCCACTAAATAAAGAGTTGGGTAAGTAAAAAGTCTTATAGGAAATACCTTCTTTTCCAGGTAACTCACTATTGGTTTCTAACAACAATACTTATTTCCTTACATTGATTGTTTTCTGAATCTTTGCTTAATTTTTTTCATTGGTTTTAACAGCTTTTCAGTAGAGTTTTAGGGATTTCCTACAATATAAGATCATGTCTTTGGCAACTAATGTCAGTTTGGATTCCTCCTTTCCAGTTGGATTCGTATTTTTTTCCCTCTTGCCTAATGGTATAGCTGGGCCACCTGTGCCATGTTGAATAAAAATGGTAAATGTGGATACCCCGGTCTAGTACAAGATCTAGAGAGAAAACTTCGGTTTTGCCCCATTCAATATGATCTTATTTACTGACATGTTACATACGGCTTTTATTATCATGACATATGTTTCCTGTATAGTAAATTTGGTGAGAGTTTTATCACCAAGGATGTGGAATTTTATTAAATGCCTTTCTGAATCTCTTAAGATGATCATATTGGTTTTGTCCTTTATTCTTTTGATGGTGTATCACATCTATTGATTTACATATCTTGAACTATCCTTGCATCTCTGGTATGAACCCTACTTGATCATATTGAAATATATTTTATTGGGCTGCTCAATTTGATTTGCTAGTATTTTGCTGAGGACTTTTGCACTCATATTCATTAAGGAGATTAGACCCAAATTTTACTTTTTTGCTGTGTCCTTGTCTGGTTTTGGAATTAATGTAATGTTGAGTGAATAATATAAATTTGGAAGAATTCTCTCCTCTTCTATTTTTTTAATTGTTTAAGAAGATTTTTGTTAATTCTTGTTTAAATGTTTGGTATAATTTGGCAGTGAAGCCATTTGGTCTTGGGCTTTACTTTCATGGGAAACGTTTTACTATTAACTGGATATTTCTGCTATTTATTGATCTGCTCAGGCACCCTGATTATGATCCATATTGCTAAATTATACATATTTAACAATTTGGCTTTTAAAAAAAGAATTTGGCATTTTTAGGTAATCAAATTTGTTCTCATACAATTGTTAATGGTATCTCCTACAATCTTTTATATTTTTGTGGTGTCAGTCATATTGTCTCCATTTTCATTTCTGATTGTATCTGAATCCATTGATTTTTCAGGAGTAAGCTGTTTAATGCCTAGGTAATTGTATGTTTCCCAATACTTATCTAGTTTTTTTTTTTTCTGCCTTTATTACATTGTGGTCAGAAAAGATACTGATCTGATTTCTGCTATTTTAAATTTGTCAAGATTTGTTTTGTGACCTCTGGACAAAGGGGGTTCTGCAATTATTAGCTCCACTTCCTAGAAAGATAGGGTATTCCTTCATTTCAAACTGCTGCATATATTTGTGTGTATATATATATATATATATACACACACACACACACACATGAAATTAAGCCCTCAACTCATACAAAATTAATTAAAAAGTGTTAAAAAGATTAATGTGAAATGTGAAGCTGAAAAGCTACTAGAAAAAAATAGGGGAAAATCTCTGTAGATGTTTTTCTTTTGTATTCTCCCTGTGTGCTGGAGAGTTCTACCAATTTTGACTTTTCATAATGTTACCAGTCATATTGAATTAAATACACATCCTCATTCCATGTAATGTCATCTTAATAATTGTATCTTCAGTAATCCTATAGCCAAATGAAGTTACATTATGAGATACTAGAAGTTAGAAATTCAACATGTGAGACTAAGGGTAGGACACAATTCAGTCATTAAAACAGAGTACATTGAAGAGAAATATGAAGAATGGAAAACATATTATGTATTTAGAAAATTATTTGAGAATTTTTATTTTATATATATATATATATAGGAGGATATATAGTTCATGGAAAATTTTACTCTTGCAGTTTTAGTATGGGTAAAATTTGAATTTTTTTTTAAGATTCATGAGAAGGAGTAAGTAGAAAGGGTGAGAGGAATATCTGATTGTTCCCCAAACCAGGTAGGTCAGTATAGGATTGATGGAGAGAATAGATATTGTTCCCTAGGAAGAGGTTGTTTGTATTAATGTAGCTGAGAGGGAAGCGTAATGGAGATTCCCAGATAGATAGGATTGTTTTATTCGCTGTTATAAAGAGGAGCCAGTTCCCCTCTGATGGATTCTAATTATTATCACTTTGATTTTCTAAGTGGGAACATGTGCTTTTTTTAGAACAAGGGAGGGTAGAATAAAAAGTTTAAATAAGTGGACTATTTTAAAAGTTGATAGGACAAATCTAAGGAAATGTAGATGACTGGAATAGCATGGGGGATAGTGTTATCATCTAGGTTGTGAAAGGTACAACAAACATACAAGGTACCAGTCTGCTCAGACCTATGAAGTTTTATAGCCTATTAAAAAAAAAAGCTGCTAGTACGAACAAAGGATAGAATCATTGATATTTGGGGTTTTGCTAGGAAGTTGTCACAGAAGGACAAAGAGATCAAGGTTTTCATTTACTAGTAAGGGAATGTTTGAAGTTATTAGCCATTCCTATTTAAGTAGCAAAGGGTGGGAATTGAAGTCAGGAGAGACTGACCAGGAAAAAATGAGAGTCTGATGGGGCTGAAGCACTGGGTGAATAGAAAGAGAAAAGTGTGGAGTTCAGGAGGTTAAACCTCCTGTTTCAAATGTGGATGTCTGCTGCCATCCTGAAAAGTAGTGCACATCAGTTAGAAATAGATCTCATAATAAGACACACAAAAATACACTAATGGCTTAAACATATAAAGGTTTATTTTCCAAAGAAAAGAAGTCTTGTGTTAAACAAGGGCATTTACAATAAGTTGTCAAAAATTTAAAATCACAGTGTCTGTCTGTTATCCATTTCTTATTTCACTCTCAAAAATATGCTTCAAGTAATTATGCATCATTTCATATCTAGCCAGCAGAAAAAGAAAACAGCAAACGAAGACATATAATTTCCCTTTGAAGGAAAATATGATAAGTCAGACTACACAATTCAGCATATATTATACTGGTCAACGTCTAATCACATGCAGCAGAGGAGGCTAGGAAATCTAATATTAAACTAGACTATAATAGGTCGGGAAATCTATTACTAAGGAAGAGGAAAAGCAGTGGTAAGGAACAATCAGAAATCTGTGCCCCATAGCTCCATTTAGACAATAACCCAATCAGGAGAAAGAAAAAAAATGCAATTTCTCAATAGTTAGTTGGCATTGCAATCAACATTGGGACTCAACATCATTATTTTGTGAAATGAGGTGCACTTATGAATTACAACATCACTCTGTTCTCCTTCAGTGGACAATGGTCAAGTTGCCTTTGTCAGACTTCCAAAGCCCGAAAAGAGGTCTTAAGGCACCTTGGAATACATTTTGGGTAAAGGTGTAAATATGGGATCCATCTGTCATGTTATAGAATGACACATCTCCATCTTCATAATCCAGGAATATCCCCACCCTACGGGGGTTCTGTCTCAGAGTAAGATGAGTTTCTGGGGAAGTGAGAGCCCAATACTCCCCCTCATAAATCCTGAAGGCCCAGAAACCATTTTGTGGGGATAGTGTGACTTGCCCCTTCCTTGTTACATTGTCCCTACAGATTCCCAGATCACAGGAAACTGTGTCCCCAATATCTACCTCCCAGTAGTATCTCCCGGAAGTGATACTCAGCTGACCCAGCACACAGGGAAGAGAATCAAATCTCTGTGGGGAGGCAGGAAGATCCTGCCTCTCTTCTTGCCAGGTTACACGTCTCTGTTCAGACAGGAAGAGGGCAGGATGGGCAGTGTCTGCATCCAGGGTCACGTTTACTGCAAAGACAAGAGAATCATCATGATCTAACTAGGGAAAGTCTCAGAAGTCTGGGGCTCGAGAAACTATTCTGTGAGAGCTTCTATGGCCCTAGGTGAATTTTGCTAACATCTGCCCATCTTTGTGTGAGACTACGCACAATGAACATGGTTCCTTTTGCACTGTCATAGACTCACCAGCCTGGAACTCTTCTTTCCTCCAATCTGCAAGAAATATATCAACATGAGAAGCCACCATCTGTGAAAGAAAGCTACCTGACCATTCAGAGTATGAATTCCCCAGGTTTAGTTTAAAATGATAGCAACTAAATAAAATATCTTTATATCCTTGCCCTTCATTTTATAGCTTGCTAAATTATGACTGACTTGAAGATCTGAGCCATGCCAATGCTTTCCTCATTTAAAAAATTCTACAATATGGGGCCGGCGCCTGGCTCACTTGGTTAATCCTCCGTATGTGGCGCCAGCATCCCATATGAGCCCAGGTTCTAGTCCCGGTTGCTCCTCTTCCATTCTAGCTCTCTGTTGTGGCTCAGGAAGGCAGTGGAGGATGGCCAAAGTGCTTGTGCCCCTGCACCCGCATGGGAGACGGAAGAAGCATCTGGCTCCCAGCTTTGGATTGTCCCAGCAGGGGCAAAAGCAGCCTTAAGGGGAGTGAACCAATTGAAGAAATACCTCTCTCTCTAACTCTCTCTCCCACTGTCTATAACTCTACCTGTCAAATAAATTTAAAAAATTCTACTAGATAACAGTATTTTATCTATTTAGATGCTAGAGATGAGATATGTCATATGGTGACTTTGTTTTTTTTTATTTTTTATTTATTTTTAATTTTTTTTGACAGGCAGAGAGGACAGTGAGAGAGAGAGAGACAGAGAGAAAGGTCTTCCTTTGCCGTTGGTTCACCCTCCAGTGGCCTCCGCGGCCGTTGTGCTGTGGTTGGTGCACCGCGCTGATCCGATAGCAGGAGCCAGGTACTTATCCTGGTCTCCCATGGGGTGCAGGGCCCAAGCACTTGGGCCATCCTCCACTGCACTCCCTGGCCAAAGCAGAGAGCTGGCCTGGAAGAGGGGCAACCGGGAGAGAATCCGGCACCACAACTGGGACTAGAACCCGGTGTGCCGGCGCTGCATGGCGGAGGATTAGCCTAGTGATCTGCAGCGCCAGCTATATGGTGACTTTGACTCAACAACTAATTTTGCTTTGCTTTTTCAAATTTTAGTACATAATTAAAATTCTACATTGCCTCTAAAGATAAGGTAATACACAGATTTGAAAAATTAAAATTTAATGTTTCAATCTCATATGTGTTAAAATTTTAAGTTTATTTGAACAGTAACGTGATGGAGGGTTGAGGAGAGAAACAGAGAGAACAAGAGCACTTTCATCTACTGCAATGAGTAAGGATGGGCTAGCCTAAAGCCAGGAGCCCAGAACTCCATCCAAATCTCCTTGCAGTGGTAGAGAACCAAGTACTTGGGCCATCATCTGCTCCCTTCCCAGGTGCATTAGTAGGAAGCTGGATTGGAAGCAGAGGAACTTGAACTCATCAGCTCCAGTATTGGATGCAGGTTTCCTAAGCAGTAGCTTAACTTCTTGTCTAAATACTCATCCCAATGTGTTAAAATTTTGTAGTATTATGTCATTTTTATGGGAGATATGCTTTGGATTTCTTTTCCTTCATGATGTTTTACATTGAAGATGTTTATGTATAATATATTCAGTAATAGGTTATTATTAGAATCCATGTTACATACCAGGATATAATGCTGCTTTCCTCCAGTCTGCAAAAGAAGAAAACAGGAAATCCTATAATTTTTTCCTTCTGTGTCTTCTCTCATTATGCTTCTCATATCATCCTGCATTTTTCTCACATTTCCTTCTCTACGTCCTCTGTTCTGTGTTTTTCTCACCTCTATCATTGTATTCCAAATATCAAAGACATGATGATGAAAATGATCAAGGGGGAAATTTAGATAAATTAAAGCAATAAATGGCAGGATTGTGAAGGTTGGAGCAAAAAAATAAAGGGAAGTCCAAAGAGAAAAGGGTGTAAAAAGGGGGTGAAGAATGCAGAATCACAATGTTTTTATATATTTCAGATATATACCCAGTAGTGTGATTGCTGGATCATATGGCTATTCTGAAGCAATGCACTGACACTCTAATCCTGCTGGTAAAATCTCTGGCATGTTGTCAGAGATTAATATTTCTAACTTTTTCACATGCTTGAGCCTGCAAAGTCTTTCTGTTGTAAAGCTGATGAAGCTCTAGCTGTACTACATGTACACCAAGGTAAACAGGCTGCCCAGGAGAGTGAACAGGGACACTGCTGTTCCAGCTGTTTATAATTGGTCAGGGACCACTAAAAGAAACTCGCACCTCACCAGAGAACAAAATATCTAATGATCAAAACCTTAAATATTATGGGAAAACATTGCAAAATATAAAATAAGTTAAAAGGGAAAAGAAATGTAAAACCCTATGTATTGAGCTTATGCCAGGCCTAGCAAGCATAATGGTAGTCCTATCTTACTTATTGATTTAAAAGCAGCAGCAACATAGTAAAATAAAAAGACAAAATAATGTATTATAGATCCTGGAAAAAAGAATTTTTAGCAAGTACAAAATGTATAACATTCCTTCTTTCAATTTTATATTTCTTTTATGCTAAAATAGCACGGAATGTCAGCTCTCTTTTAAGGAAATGATGACCGAGCAAGAAAACACAATTTGGATTATAAAAGTCTTACTTTAATAAAATTTCCTTAAACAATGGAAAAATGAAGTTTCCATACTATTTTCCATAGTGGTTTTACTAGTTTTTATTCCCATGAACTGAATCGCTCTTTCCCATACTTTCATTAATATTTATTTTTGTCTTTGTGATAATAGCTATTCTAACTGGAGGGAGGTGAGTTTTAGAAGGTTAGTGATATTAAGCATTTGTTCATATGTTATTGACAATTTATATTTATTCTTTTGAGAACTGTCTATTCTGGTCTTCTATCAATTTCTCAATTGGAGTTTTTGTTGTTGTTATTGAGTTTTTGAGTTCCTGAGATATTTTTATATTAATTTTATGTCAGAAAGGAGATATTTGCTCCACTATGTTTATTGTGGCACTATTCATAATACTGTGATAAAGGAATCAACCAAGGTATCCATCATCAGATGTATAAATAAAGAAAATGTATGTATGTATGTATATTTACATAAACACAAACACACAAATAAAATGGAATATTATTCAACAACAACAAAAAAGAATGTATCTTCTCATTTGCAGGAAAATCGATGGGACTGGAGTACTGCGTGTTCTTGACCATGTATGGGGGGTAAAAGAAGAAAACAGCAATAACAAAAACCTCAATATGGATACAGAATAGTGACTACTACAGGCTGCAAGGGAAGGGGTGGGGTGGATAGAGGAATTTGGTTAAAATAAGAGTATCAGCTCGGTATGGTTCATTAATTGTCACAAATACTAATATGAGATATTAGTAATAGTGAACTTCAGTGTGGTTTCTTAAGTGTGACAAATACACTAATATAAGATGGTAATAAGGGGAAGATGAGTGTGGAGTATATGGGAACTCTGTACTACATAATTGTTGTTTTTGTAAAAATAAAATAATTATGAAATTAGAAGTTTATTTTAAAATTTTTAAAAATAAGATCATAATAATCTAATATAATATTCACCCCAGGGGCCAGTACCATCGCACAATATGTTAATCCTTCACCTGTGGCACTGGCATCCCATATGGCCACCGGTTCTAGTCCCGCTGCTCCTCTTCCAGTCCAGCTCTCTGCTATGGCCTGAGAAAGCAGTATAAAATGGCCCAAGTTCTTGGGCCCCTGCACCCGCATGGGAGACTGGGAGAAAGCACCTGGCTCCTGGCTTCGGATCAGCACAGCTCGGGCCATTGCTGTCATTTGGGGAGTGAACCAATGGAAGGAAGACCTTTCTCTCTGTCTCTCCCTCTCACTGTCTGTAACTCTACCTCTCAAATAAATAAATAAAATCTTTCAAAAAAATTCACTCCACTGTTGAAACACTTATAAATTGTATTTAAGGGGGGGAGGGTTATTGAAATTCTTCTTTGCCAAATAGACACTGTTTGTTACATTGTTTTATTCTAACCAATTACTATAGAGGTTAAGATAGGGGTTGAATCCAAAAGAGACAGAAAAATGGAATTTTTTTGTGAGAGAATGATTACTCACTGAATTTGAATTGAGCCTACTTCTATCTGAAGGAAGTAATGACTACATGCATCCTATAATTGTTATAGGACTCAGATATGGACTGAACACATTGAAGATATAGGAATGGAGGTTTCCTAGAGATAATATTTACTTACCTAACATATATTGAGCCTTCCTCCTATCTGAGAGAAAAATATACAAAACATACCTTCATGAGATAGGTTTTGTTAATATCATAAAGAATACACAATTCAAACCATATATTTTCCAGTTTTCATGCCTGCAATATTGAGCAGATCATGTTCATTTCTTTAGCAGTAAAAGAAGACTCTAAAGTACATTCATACTGAAAACTTCACTGCAATTGGAAGAAAACTATATGAGGCGTAAATAGTTAAATACAAGGTGCTTCAGAAATCTTGAATGAAAAGAATTAAAAGTTAAGTTTTATTTGGTACAAGATTGTTGACATTTATATCTACTTTTTTCATAATTTACATTTTCCACAAACTTTTTGAAGGCTCCTTTTAATGCTTATAGTTTGGCACTAAAATTTGTAGAAATATTTTAGAACAAGGTATTAGATTTTTAAAATGTATTTCCAATGGAATTTACCTAACAATGCATACTAAAATCATGAAAGGAGAAAAATTCACAGATCAAAATTCATAGACCAAAAGAAGAAAGAGCAGCAGTAGCTATGGTTGTAAAGAGAAGATTGTAAGATCATGGGAAAATAGTTAATACCTAGGATTATTTAAAAATACAGTTGAGTAATACAAATTAACAAGTCTCCAGACTATATTTGATATTAGTATATACTAACTGTATAAAGGCCAATAAAAGGAGGAACTTATATCTTCCAGGAATTTGGAGTCTGATATCCACAGTTAATAATTAAGATATCATCATGTGAAAAATAATGAGCACTCTGCTACAGAAGATGTGTTGTAGAACACAATTAAAGGAAGTTTTCTATTCAGTGGAAACAACTATATTCCTCTATTCATCTCATAACCTTATATTGAAGATACAACAATTATCTGCAAGACAGAAGAAGCCAAAGCACATACCAGAAAGGAAAAGGGGGATAAAGTACAGAAAGGAAAAGGGATAAAGAGAAGGGGATGGAGGGGATCAGAAGGAAACTTAATAAGATAAAAGTTCATGGAGCAAAAAAGAAGATAATAGTTTAATTTGAACTCCACAAGTAGCAAAAGCAAAGAAGAGTAGAGATGATGTAAAGTGTCAAGAGACTGCAGAAAAACAAAAAAAGCTATCACTAGGAAAAATATCAGAAAAATTACCAATTTCTCCCCGAAGTTCTTCTGAAAAATAAAAAGGAAAATTCATACGAATGTCAAGGGAAAACATGGATATAGTTAGAATATATTATGCTAAGGGTCATAAGTAGATACAGAATGCCAAATATTATGGGCTTTCACATCATGTGAAATCTTAAAAAGGAATACCATAGAAATGGTGTAGCAAGTTTATTACAGGAAGCTGAAGGGGGCTGGATATATATGTATGAAATACATGCAAATTGAATACCTCAAATAAAATTAAAAAAGAAAAAACTAAAGGGGAGGAGGAAGGACACAGAAAGGAAAGACGTTGATCAAAATGTGTGAAGTTTCAATTAAACTGGAGTAATAGTTTTTAGACCATATGGTAACCACAGTTCTTCACAATATAAATTTCAAAGTTCCTTTAAAAAGCAGCTTTTTAATATACTTACCACAAAAATTATAAATATGCTAGATGTGTTAATTAACCTGATTGAATTCTTCTACAATGTATACATAAACATCACATTATAATCCACAAATTTCCAAAATTAATATTTTTCAAAATAAAATATCAAAATGTCAGGTAAAACTATCAAAGAATATGAAACTTCCATTGTAAAGATAAATTAGTTGAATAAATATAATTGATATGATAAATATAATTATCAAAAAATCAATAAACTGAAAAGGAAGCCCATTTCTAGCTAAGAAAATTGAAAAGAGGGAATATAGAAAATCTAAAAATGGATGAAAAAATGTAAATGACCGGAAAGAAAGACTAAGATTTATAACATACATATTTATTTTATAGATTAAAGTATCAAAGTAATTTAGCTAATCCAACATACACACAAACATACACACACACACACACACTCAAACACACAAGAATAGAAGTGCTTTAAAAAGTGGGAAATGGAATTACAAGATGATACCTTTTATTTGTCTCTCTGTTTCTCTACATTTGATATAAATAAATAAATACATATACATGGGTTGGGCGTTTGGAGCAGTGGTTAACCCACTGCATGGAATGTCAGCATCTCATGTCATAAGGGTTCCAATCCTGGCTCCACTTCTGAGACCAGCTTCCTGCTAATGCACACCCGAGGAGGCAGCTGTGATTACTAAGTTACTGGATCCTTGCTACCCACATGAAGGGTCCAGATGAGTTCCTGGCTCCCAGCTTTGACCTGGCCCAGCCTGACTTTTGTAGGCTTTAGGGAATGAACCAGAGAATTGGAAATCTCTCTGTGTCTGTATGTCTGTCACTTTTAAATTAAATGAATAAATAAAATTTAAAAATACATGATGGAGATTTTCCACAAACTGTTTGAAGCCTTCTGTATGAGACTATGCATTGCCTTCCTCTTCTTGTAATTGTATTTTATAACGCATATTATCTTGGCATTAGAGTGTTGAAATTGATATTTTTATTTTCTAAGATTTTTCTACTATGTCAGAATAAACAAGATATCTTTCAGTAAAACATAATTTTTAGAATTAGTATTTAATATTATAGTATGATCAAGACCTCTTGGGGCTGGCACCATGGCTCACTTGGTTAATCCTTCACCTGCAGAGCCAGCATCACATATGGGCACCAGGTTCTACTCCAGGCTGCTCCTCTTCCAGTCCAGCTCTCTTCTGTGGCCGAGGAAGGCAGTGGAGGATGGCCCAAGTGCTGGGGTCCCTGCATCTGAATGGGAGACCAAGAGGAAGCAACCGGCTCCTGGCTTCATATCGGCATAGCTCTGGCCGTAGCGGCCATTTTGGGGGTGAACCAATGGAAGGAAGACTTTTCTCTCTGTCTCTCTCTCTTACTGTCTAACTCTAGCTGTCAAATTAAAAAAAAGCTTCTTAAAAATGCTTAATGAACATATGAAATTATACATTACATTTTTGTGGGGCACTTAGTGATGCTTTTATACATGTATACATTGTGTAATGTCCGATGGAGGTAAATATATTTATGTATTCAAAGATCTAGCATTTCTTTGTAATTAAAACATCCAAAATACTATCTTCTGGGTGTTTTAAATTTAAGAAATGTTCAGTACATTGATATTATCTGATATCACTCTACTGCACAGAAGCATCCCAGCACTGCCTACTCCTATCTAGCTATAACTTTGTACACATTACTCAAATTTTTCCATCTCTCCCTCCCCATTTTTCTCCTCAGCCTCTGATAACCTCCAAAAGCTTCTTAGAAGATATGAGAGCCATGAAGAAAGCAAATTACCATTACATATGGGACAATATTTTGCAAGAATCATGATCTCTAACTCTTCACATTTCATGAACTTTCATTAGGATTTAACTGAGTTGTCAACTGACAGAATTTTAAAATAATCTTTGATAAAAGTTATTTTGTGGTTTTTATGATGTGCCTCAGGAGAAATTCCAACAATCAAGTGACAATGCTTTAATTAAAGTCCTTCCTATTCCTGTTATCTTACATATAAGGACGCAGTTTCTTAGCCTATAAATCTTTGATTAAAACTAAGAAAAATTATGGAATAAAATTGATGTTGGTCACTGACTCAAGAGTTTGAGAGAAATAAAATTAACAAGAAAAAATAAGAAAGGAAGGAGGAGAGAGTTTTGGGCGGGAAATATCACTATGCTCCTAAATCAGTATATAGGAAATATATGAAATTTTTCACCTATGTAAATAAAGAAAATATAAAAATTAAACATGAATAAATCAAGATAAAAGGCTGCTATGAAATTTGCATTACAATGGCAATGTGCAACATGCATTTTATGTACATAAAATAAAAGCATAGTTTTATTTAAAGAATCAACATGAATCATTCACTGAGAAATTTATGATGAAAACTTTGAGGCTATATTTAAATTGTTTAAGACAGATTTAGTTTTCCACAATTATTTTAAAAATTACATGACCAAAATATTTGAAGACTTTACTTTAAACTTTTTTATTACATCTCTTTCCTAATACGTGACATTAGGCTTCAGTCATATTCCTTACAAAGGTAACATATACTTTTGAAAAGATTAGCTAAATGTCTAGAATTCATATGTATTGTTTTAGATTGTTCCTTAGCTGTTTTTGAAATTTTATGCTTCAAGATTTTATATGATATTTACATATTTATTTTTCCCACGTTCTTTAAGAAATTCTTTTTGTTGTGTTATTTCTTTCTGGTTCTTTGCCATCTTTCCTCTATTCGTCAAAACCTTTTCTCTCTGAAGGAAGAGTATAGTCTTCCAGATAAAATGACGCTTGGTACAATTTTCTTCATGGAAAAAAATAGGATGCTGTTACTTCATATGCATTCCAGGAAGCAAAATTGCTTTATACTTTAAATAAATCACTTGAAATGAAACTATAAATGAAGTATAAATTAATCACAAACAAGTTTGGGAATTTTTAAATCAAATCCTAAAGATGAGGAGTTATCATATGCAAAGTATGGACACTTATAGTTTGGAATATCTGATAAAGGTCCTAAATCAGGAGTTTTCCAGAAATTATGTATTGCATGGAAAGTACATGCCTATTTGCTTAACTCCTGTCATCTCACCGATCATAATGAAACTTCAGAGACATTTAGAGTACAAAAGCAAAATTTATACAAATGAATGACACAGAATCACAAAAAGAAAAAGGAATGAGAAAGGATGGGAAAGATAAGGACAAAGAAATGATGAGAACATGACATAAGAGTGGCCCCTAATGAAAAAATAAAATGAGGAGGGTAGAAGAGTAGATATATGGAGAAGGGAGAGCTAAAGGATGCTATCTATAAGAAGAGACATACGTAAAGACATCAAGAAAACATTATAATGGAAAAACGGCCATCATACAATTTTTACCATTATTTTCCTGAAGTTCATCAGAAAATAAGATGGAAAATAACAATATAAATTTTTTGACAGGCAGAATGGACAGTGAGAGAGAGAGAGACAGGGAGAAAGGTCTTCCTTTACCACTGGTTCACCCTCCAATGGCTGCCTCGGCTGGCGTGCTGCAACCGGTGCACCACGCTGATCCGAAGCAAGGAGCCAGGTGCTTCCTCCTGGTCTCCCATGTGGGTATAGGCGCCCAAGCACTTGGGCCATCCTCCACTGCACTCCCGGGCCACATCAGAGAGCTGGCCTGGAAGAGGAGCAACTGGGACAGAATCCGACATCCCAACCTGGACTAGAACCCAATGTGCTGGTGCTGCAGGCGGAGGATTAGCCAATTGAGTCGTGGCGCCAGCCACAATATAAATATTTTTTAAAAATGCAAGCTTAAGAAAATTCTAACATTTTAAGAGAATAAAGGAATGGCAGAAAATATTTACTATTACTTCTCTGAAGCTCATTTGAAAATAAATGGAAAAAATGAAAATAAATAATTTGTTATATAAAGGTTTGAAAATTCCAATTTATGAAAAATGCAATTCAAAATTTAAAATTAGGATGTGGACATAAACACACATAAACACACACACACATGCTGTTGGCACACGAATTTTCTCTAAATAACAAGCTATACTGTGCAAAAGGAGAAGGAAATTTGATTTTATTTGTTTTACAGGCTTGTATATCAAGAATCTGGACACAGAATAAATAAACGTTTATAGGGAAGTAAAGCCAAGGCTGAAATACAACTGGAGGTGAATGATAGAAAATGAAGGAAAAGAGGGCCGGCGCCGCGGCTCACTAGGCTAATCCTCCACCTTGCGGTGCAGGCACACTGGGTTCTAGTCCCGGTCGGGGCGCCGGATTCTGTCCCGGTTGCCCCTCTTCCAGGCTAGCTCTCTGCTGTGGCCAGGGAAGTGCAGTGGAGGATGGCCCAAGTCCTTGGGCCCTGCACCCCATGGGAGACCAGGAGAAGTACCTGGCTCCTGCCATCGGATCAGCGCGGTGCGCTGGCCGCAGCGCTCCAACTGCGGCGGCCATTGGAAGGTGAACCAACGGCAAAGGAAGACCTTTCTCTCTGTCTCTCTCTCTCTCACTGTCCACTCTGCCTGTCAAAAATAAAAAATAAATAAATAAAAAATAAATAAATTTAAAAAAATGAAGGAAAAGAGAAATGGAGAGAACTTAATATGGGAGAAGTCAAGCAGTCATAATATATGGGGAGAGATTAGACATTCAGGAAAAGGGTAAATCAAGGCGTACAATTAGGGAATAAAGGAAAAAGACAACAAGAGAGCAATAATTTTAGAGTGGCAAAGGAGTAAAGACTGTCAGGGAATACTTACCACATTTTCTCTGAAGTTCATCTGAAAATAAGATGGTAAAACTTAATATTAATATTCTTCTTATGGAATGAAAGCTTAAGAAAATTCAAACAATTTAATAGAATAGAGGAATGTCGGACAATTTACCATTATTTCTCTGAAGTTCATCTGAAAATAAATGGAAAAATTCATTATTTTTATAACATATTCTTGTTATGAAAAGGTTAAGAAAACTGCAAATTATGTAAACTGCAATGCAAAATTTAAATTATGAACACAGACACACACAAACAACCACGCATCCTGCTGGAAAACTAATTCTAGCCGGCGCCGTGGCTCAATAGGCTAATCCTCCACCTTGCGGCGCCGGCACACCGGGTTCTAGTCCCGGTTGGGGCTCCGGATTCTGTCCCGGTTGCCCCTCTTCCAGGCCAGCTCTCTGCTATGGCCAGGGAGTGCAGTGGAGGATGGCCCAGGTGCTTGGGTCCTGCACCCCATGGGAGACCAGGAAAAAGCACCTGGCTCCTGGCTCCTGCCAGGATCAGCGCGGTGCGCCGGCTGCAGCGGCGGCCATTGGAGGGTGAACCAACGGCAAAAGGAAGACCTTTCTCTCTCTGTCTCTCTCTCTCTCACTGTCCACTCTGCCTGTAAAAAAAAAAAAAAAAAAAAAGAATAGTGAAAAAAAAAAAAAAAAAAAACTAATTCTGTCTAGGTAACATGCTATACAGAATTAAAGAAAAGGAGGATATTTGCTTCACTTAGAAAGAATATAAATAATAGTTTTGATAGTAAAAGAATAAAATATCTTTAGTTTTGTATGCAATTTGGGCTTTCATTTTTAGGATTCTTTGATATTGTCTTTGATTTTCAGTAAATCTATGATATTGATTCTCATTTTAATGGCAGAAATGTTGTATTAAATCACAATCAACCCAGAGTTAGGGATTCCTGAGCCACTGCTCATGGAAGAAAATCTGAGTTCAGATGCCTCTAAGTCTCTGGTCACCATAGCACCAAAATATCACAGAGTTTTCCGTGTTTCTGCGTCAAGAATCTAGAAACAGAAAAAAATAGATGTTTAAAAGAAACTAAAGCCGTGGATGAACTAAAACTGGAGGTGAATGATAGAAAATGAAGGAAAACAGATATAGAGAGACTGAATATGGGAGAAGTCCAGTAGCCACTATATATGGGGAGAGAATATACATTCAGGAGAAGGGTAAATCAAGACATTCAATTAGAGAAAGAGGGAACAAACGCAAAAGACAACATTAGAGTGATCATTTTAAAGTGGCAAGAGAGTTAAGGATGCCAGGGAATATTTACAACACTTTCACTGATGTTCATATGTACAGAAGATGGAAAAAATCAAGAAAATATTCTTGTTATGTAACGCAAGGATACAAAAATTCTAACATTTTGAGGGAATAAAGAATGTTACCATTATTTCTCTGAAGTTTATCTGAAATTAGATGAAAAATCAATATTAATATTCATCCTTCGCAATGCAGGGTAAAGAAAATTCTAAAGTTCTAACGGGAAAAAAGAACATCAGAATGTACTTACCACCAATTCTCTGAAGTTCACCTGAAAATGAATGGAAAATCATTATAATATTCTTGTTATTAAAAAGTTAAGAAAATTCCAACTTATGTTAAAGGCAATACAAAATTTAAACTCAATCTAAAGATGTGCACACAAACAGGGACACCCACACACAAACAGACACCCATGCTTAAGTGTCAAGAATCTGGACACAAAATACATAGACATTTATAGGGAAGTAAAGCCTTGGATCAAGTAAAATTGGAGGTGAATAACAGAAATTGAAGGAAAAGAGAAATGGAGAGAATTTATTTTAGGAGAAGTCTGGAAGTCACCATATATGGAGAGAGAAACGACATTCAGAAGAAGGAAAAATCAAGGCATGCAATTAGGGCAATAGGGAATAAATGCAAAACACAATAAGAGAGCCATCATTTTACAGTGGCAGGAGAATAAAGGATGCCAGGGAATATTTACCACATCTTTTGTGAAGTTCGTCTGAAAATAAGATGTGAATTTTACACACTTTTGAGGGGATAAAGGAATGTCAAACAATATTTACCATTATTTCTCTGAAGAACATCTGAAAATAACATGAATAAAATCAATATAAATATGCTAGTTTTCAAATGGATGAGGAGATTCCAACTTGTGTAAAATGTGATGAAAAATTTAAACTCCAGACACTGATATAACCTACACACACACACACACACACAGACACAAACACCCACCCATGCTGCTGGAAATCTAATTTCATATCATTAAAATGCTTTACAGAATTAAAGAGAAGGAGGACATTGGCTTCCTTGAGAAAGAATTGAAATATTAGTTCTGATGGTTACCATATAGAATAGCTTTATTTTTTGTTTGTTAATCTTTCTTTTATATTTATGGTTGTTTGATAGCGCCATTGACTCCCAATGACCTAAGATATTGATTCTCATTATCATGATAGCAATGCTGGTTTAAGTCACAATTAATCCCGTGTTAGGGACTCCTGAGCCACTGCTCCTGGGGGAAAATCTGAATTTAGGTGTCTCTAAGTCTTTTCAACACGGACCCGCGGAATCACTTTGTTTTACATGCTTGAGTGTCAAGAATCTACACACAGAATACATAGATCGTTATAGGGAAGTAAATCCATGTCTGGCCTAAAACTGGAAGTGAATGACAGAAAATGAAAGAAAGGAGAAATGGAGACAACTTAATATGGGAGAAGTCCAGCAGTCACCATATATGGGGAGAGGGTAGATATCAGGAGACGGGTAAATTAAGGCATGCCATTAAGGGAATAGGGGAAAAATGCAAAACACAACAAGAGAGCCATCATTTTACAGTGGCAGGAGAATAAAGGATGCCAGGGAATATTTACCACATCTTTTCTGAAGTTCGTCTGAAAATAAGATGGAAAAATCACTATAAATAATTCTGTTATGGAATGCAACATGATGAATTTTATACACTTTTGAGGGGATAAAGGAATGTCAAACAATATTTACCATTATTTCTCTGAAGAACATCTGAAAATAACATAAATAAAATCAATATAAATATGCTAGTTTTCAAATGGATGAGGAGATTCCAACTTGTGTAAAATGTGATGAAAAATTTAAACTCCAGACACTGATATAACCTACACACACACACACACACACAGACACAAACACCCACCCATGCTGCTGGAAATCTAATTTCATATCATTAAAATGCTTTACAGAATTAAAGAGAAGGAGGACATTGGCTTCCTTGAGAAAGAATTGAAATATTAGTTCTGATGGTTACCATATAGAATAGCTTTATTTTTTGTATGTTAATCTTTCTTTTATATTTATGGTTGTTTGATAGTGCCATTGACTCCCAATGACCTAAGATATTGATTCTCATTATCATGATAGCAATGCTGGTTTAAGTCACAATTAATCCCGTGTTAGGGACTCCTGAGCCACTGTCCTAGAAAAAAATCTGAGTTCAGATGCCGCTAAGTCATTGGTAACTACGGCACCAAAATACCACGAAGATTTCCATGCTTGTGTGTCAAGTATCTGGACAAAGAATACATAGATCATTCAAGGGAATTAAAGCCATGGCTGAACTAAAACTGTTGGTGAATGACAGAAGATGAAGGAAAAGAGAATGGAGACAACTGAATATGGGAATAGTCCAGTAGTCACCATATATGGGGAGAGAGTAGACATCAGGAGAAGGGTAAATCAAGGCATGCAAATAGGGGATGGGGGAATAAATGCAAAAGACAACAAGAGAACAATCATTTTAAAGTGGCAAGAGAGTTAAGGATGCCACGGAATATCTACAACACCTTCTCTGATGTTAATATGTACAGAAGATTGAAAAAATCCATAAAATATTCTTGTTATTGAATGAAAAGATAAGAAAATTCTAAGATTGTAAGGGAATAAAGGAATGTCAGACAATTTTACCATTATTTCTCTGAAGTATATCTGAAATTAAGATGAAAAAATCAATATTAATATTCATCTAAAGAATGAAGGGTTAAGAAATTTCCAAAGTTCTAATGGGATAAAAGAACATCAGAATGCACATATCATTAATTCTTTGAAGTTCACCTAAAAATAAATGGAACAAATCATTATAATATTCTTGTTATAAAAAGGTGAAGAAAGTTGCAACTTATTTTAAAGGCAATACAAAATTTAAACTCAAGCTACAGACGTGCACACACACAGGCACACCCACACAAAAACAGCTGGAAAACTAATATTGTCTAAGTAGCATGCTATACAGAATTAAAGAAAAGGAAGGAATTTTCTTCACTGAGGAAAAAAATAGAAATATTAGTTCTGATGCTAACATTATAAAATATCTTTTTTGTTTGTATGTTATTTGCACTTTTATTTTTAGGGTTCTTTGATACTGCCTTTGAGTCCCAGTAAATCTATGATATTGGTTTTTATTATCACACTAGCAATGTAGTATTGAGTCAAAATCAACCTTGGGTTAGGGACTCCTGTGCCACTGCTCATGAAAAAATTTCAGAGCTCAGATTCCTCTAAGTGTCTGGTCACCACAGCACGAAAACATCTCTACGTTTTCCATGCTTGTGTGTCAAGAATCTGGACACAGAATAAATAGGTCCTTATAGGGAAGTAAAGCCATGGCTGAAATAAAGCTGGAGGTGAATGATAGAAAATGAAAAAAAGAGAACTAGGGAGAACTGAATATGGGAGAAGTCCAGCAGTCACCATATATGGGGAGAGAGTAGACATTCAGGAGAAGGGTAAATCAAGGCTTGCAATTAGTAGAAAGGGAAAAAATGCATAAGACAAGAGAGCAATCATTTTAGTGTGACAAGAGAGTAATGACTATCAAAGAACACTTACATCCTATCTGATGTTCCTCTGAAAATAAAATGGTAAAAGTAATATTAATATTCTTCTTATTAATGAGAGATGAAGAAAATTCTGTAATTTAAGGGAATAGAGGAATGTCAAACAATATTTACCATTATTTCTCTGAAGTTCATCTGAAAATAAATGAAAACTTCAGTATGTTTTAACATATTATTGTTATGAAAAGCTTACGAAAATTGTAACTTTAGTAAAATGCAACTTAGGTAAAAATTTAAACTCATGATAAAGACACACACACACACACACACTCATGAATTCTGCTGGTAAACTAATTGTGCCTAAGTATCATGGTATATAGAATTAAAGAAAAGGAGAGCATTTGATTCACTGAGAAAGAATAGAAATAATAATTCTGATGGTAAAAGTTAAAATATATTAATTTTTGTATGTTAATTGTTCTTTTATTTATATGGTCGATTGATAGTGCCATTCACACTGAATAACCTATGATATTGATTTTTTTTCTTTTTCCATCCTTTTATTTAATGAATATAAATTTCCAAAGTAAAGCTTATGGATTACAATGGCTTCCACCCCATAACGTCCCTCCCACCCGCAACCCTCCCCTTTCCCACTCCCTCTCCCCTTCCATTCACATCAAGATTCATTTTCGATTCTCTTTATATACAGAAGATCAGTTTAGCATACATTAAGTAAAGATTTCAACAGTTTGCTCCCACACAGAAACATAAAGTGAAAAATACTGTTTGAGTACTAGTTATAGCATTAAATCTCAATGTACAGCACACTAAGCACAGAGATCCTACATGAGGAGTAAGTGCACAGTGACTCCGCTTGTTGAGTGAACAAATTGACACTCTTGTTTATGGCATCAGTAATCACTCTAGGCTCTTATCATGAGCTGCCAAGGCTATGGAAGCCCCCTGAGTTCACCGACTCTGATCATATTTAGACAAGGTTGTAGTCGAAATGGAAGTTCTCTCCTCCCTTCAGAGAAAGGTACCTCCTTCTTTGATGACCTGTTCTTTCCACTGGGGATCTCACTGACGGAGATCTTTCATTTAGGTGTTGTTTTTTTTTTTTTT